GATGCCCAGAGTAAGACGGTGTTGAAAGTTGGACCTCAACTATTATGGATGATTTTTAATGAATTTTTGAATATATCGCATAATTTAGAGTAGGTGTATTGAATTCAATATACATGTCCTTTAATTTCTGAGATATTTACAGTAAATCTGGATGATATTTGGTACAGAGGTACAGTAGGTGTCCCAGAAGGAGGATGTGTTGAAAGTCGAACCTCAACTATCAGGATGATTTTCTAATGAATTTTTGAAATTTGACATAATGTAGTGTATTGCTGTATTGAATTGATATAAATGTCCTTTAATTTCTGAGGAATTCTACAGTAAATCTGGATGAAACTTGGCACACAGGTACAGTAGGTGTCCCAGAGAGGAGATTGTTGAAAGTTGGACATCAACTATTCAGGATGATTTTAATGAATTTTTGAAATAAACATAATTGTAGTGCATTGACTGTATTGCACTGAATATGAGTTTACTGTGATTTCTGAGTAATATTACAGTAAATCTGGGTAAAACCTGGCCCAGAGGTAAAGTAGGTGTCCGAGAAGAGGATTGTGTTGAAAGCTTGGCATCAACTTTTAAGAATGATTTTTAATGAATTTTTGAATATGCAACCAGACTGTCACGATGGCTGTATTGGGCTGTTCCATTGTAATTTGTGTGCGCGCGCGCGTGCGTGGGTCTAGGCTTTCAATCAGGATATAAAGCGAAAAGGCGCTACCGTAAAGACTGGTGTAAAAGCGCAAGGAAATTTATGCGGCGGATAGGAGGCGGCTGGCTTGACCGCGGCTCACAAATGACGGCTCACTTTACCGCGGTAGCTTTGAGACGTGGTGCTTCATCTTTGACCACGTGAGGAGCTCTACGGACCACAGCTAAACCGCTGTGAAGATCTGAATCACATATTAAGTAAAATAATGTTCGTGAAACATTTCTGTCCGAAAGTGGCACAAAAACGCAAAGTTTCAAATGATGAGTTGAACGTGAAAAACCTCCAACAGGAACACGTCTGCAGCCCATCGTCCTCCAAACATGAGCTCAGTGAAACGAAGTGAAATAAATCTGCCATGTCTGACGCGTTTTCATGATTTCAGGCCGTGTTTTGTGGCACAGTTACATAAATGATGAGTTCACTCGGACTCACGCTGAGTCTGTGCAGCAGAGACGGAGCGCCTGGAAAACAGACTGCAGGTGGGATGAGTGGGAGATGTCGGATGTCACACCCACGTGTTTCAAGGGTTTCACTGCAGTGCGAGGAGACAGCCGGCATCTGTGGCCACCCACCCGGCTGGCCCGGCCGCCGCCGGCGTCCCCGCCCACACGTCATAAACCCCATGTTCAGAGGAGACTGCCAGGAGCCGACGCGTACACCGCAGTCCGCGTGCCGTGCTGGACTTCCCGTGGTGCAACAAACGTGTCAGTGTGTAAAACCTGTAAGCACAACATTAGTAACCAGAGACAGACGATGAGCAGCACACAGACACTCACGCTGTAGAAATATACTTTCATTTCTTTCATTTCTATATAAAATGTCACAAACGTGCAGTCTCTCTTTGTTTTAGAGTCGACACATTTTTTCAAATTCAAATTTTATTTGTCACGTACACAGTCATACACAGTACGATATGTAGTGAAATGCTTGGACAACTGCTCGTGACCTAAAGAAAACAAAAAAGGAAAAGGCTATGAATAAGATAGGAAATAAATACTAAATTAAAAAGGACTGTGTGGCCACCCATGGCTCCAACACCATTGTGAAGTTTGCTGACGACACAGTGGTGTTGGGTGCCATCTCCAACAACGATGAGGCGGCCTACATGGATGAAGTGAAGAATCTGGCATCGTGGTGCCAGGACAACCACCTCCAGCTGAACGTCAGCAAGACCAAGGAGCTGGTGGTGGACTTCAGAAGGGGTCAGCACAGAGACTACAAGCCCATTATCATCAATGGAGCTCCAGTGGAGAGGGTGCAGTCCTTCAAGTATCTTGGTGTCCACATCTCCTCAGACCTGACATGGGCTGCCCACATTCAGGTCCAGACCAAAAAGGCTAGGCAGCGCCTGTATCACCTACGACAACTGAGGAAGTTCAGGGTCTCTCCAAAGATCCTCAGGATTTTCTATACAGGCGCTGTGGAGAGCATCCTCACACAGAACATGACATCGTGGTTTGGGAACAGCTGTGTGAAGGACCAAAAAGCTCTCCAGAGAGTGATCCGTACAGCAGAACGCTGCTGCAGGATTGCTCTCCCCCCGCTTCAGGACACCTACACCAGGAGATGCCGGACTAAGCAGCGCAGATACTGAAGGACCCGTCCCATCCTGGCAACAAACTGTTCCAACTTCTGCAATCTGGTAGAAGGTTCCGCATCTTCCGGGCAAGGACAGAGAGACTCAAGAGGAGCTTCTATCCCCAAGCCATCCGTGCCCTAAACACACACACCCGCCCTCTCACATCATCTATAATGACTGAGACAGGACTCTCTTCCAGACACTAAACCAAGGCACAATGTACATTTCAATTCCTTTAATTTTAAATATGTTTATATTGTCTATCCTGTAAAATAGTCAGATGTCTATTCATATTAATGTACAGAATTCACCTGCTTGCTGCTACTACTGCACATTCACCCATGTATATACTATATAAATATTATAATATATATATATATATATAGTATATATATATATATATATATATATATATATATATATATATATAACTATACATATATAAATATACATAATATTATACATATATAATATATGTAATATAACATATATACATATATATATATAACATATATACATATATATATATATATACATATATATATATATGTATATATATACACTCCAGCCCCAACCCCACCCCCTCCACATTTTTGCGGAGCCATGTCGAGGAGCGTTCAGGCTACATTTCACTGTCGTGTACTTGTATAACTATGCATGAAAATGAAAAGGCTATGAATCTAATGAAATAAATATGAAAAATTAAAAAGGGTAAATTTAACTAGGAAGGAATAAAATATAAATTAAGGTTAAAAATGAAATAACTGTACAACACAAATTAGAATGAAGGGTAAATTTAACTGGGAAGAATAAGATAAAATATATAAATTAAAGTTGAAAATAAAATAACTGTACAACAAAATACACAATATAGAACTATATAAGAATGTATGAAGAAATATAAATAAATATATACACAATAACAGCAGCTGTACAAGTATTAACTGGAAATGAAGAATGATAGTGACCAGTGTTGTGCAATCCACATTATGTCTTGTGCAGTGCAAATATGCTTAAAGTGATTTAAGTGATGAAGTGAAAACAATGTCCAGAATGTCCTGTTTCCCAGCAGGCAGACGCTTCCTGCAGCACTTTATTCTACATCGAGTGTAGTCAAGAATATGTTTGTAGTTCCTCTACAGCAGGGGTCCCCAATCTCAGTCCACGAGGGCCGGTGTCCTGCAGGTTTTAGATCTCACCCTGGGTCAACACACCTGAATCACATGATGAGTTCATTACCAGGCCTCTGGAGAACTTCAGGACATGTTGAGGAGGTCATTCATCCATTTAAATCAGCTGTGATGGATCAAGGACACATCTAAAACCTGCAGGGACACCGGCCCTCGTGGACTGAGATTGGGGACCCCTGGTTTAAAGACTGCACGAAGCACCGATCCTCCAATCACAGACCGGCACGCCCCGAGCACAACAGGACACAAGCAGTTTACTCAAACATATTTTGGGAAAATTCCACCTCTCTGCTCGGCTCTGACCATAAATCACACACACAACACCACACAACACACACACACACACATACAAACACATACACACACACACACACACACACACACACACACACACACAGAGCGACCTGCAGACATCAGTGTGTGACGCCTGCATTAATCTGGCGTCTCTCGCTGTCGTGTTTTGTTTCTGCGTGAATCCCAAACAGAAGCTCGGAGTTTTTCATGAAAACCTGGAAGCTCAAAGTGAAGGAAACAAAGCTGCAGTTCCCCTGACGTCCACTGGAGGCTCCACACTGAGTCAGACCCACAGAGTTAAAATGAACTCGTCCACAGCCCGATATAAAATCTGTCTCTGTGCATCATTTTACCCCAATGTCAGTTTCACGATTAGGGTGTGGCCTATCTGACCACGCCCCCTCATGACCCCCCTCAGGGGTCCACAATCTCAGTCCACGAGGGCCGGTGTCCTGCAGGTTTTCAAGAGTGCAATAAAAAATATAACCAAACAAGCTTAATTTACAGTTTGAAATACAGAAGATAATGAAAATATATAAATAACTACCTATTAATCCCCATATCCAAGTATCAAGACGTGTAAAAACAAATTACATTCTTTCCTCAGTTTCTATTAATAAGACTTAAATTTACATGAAATTTTTCAAAATTATATACATTATTCATAAGGAGAGAAAGAATTCAGAAACAACACGGAGAGTGTTTTGATGCATGCTCAATCATCCAGGTAATTAAATCCCTAAAGGTTGATTCTGTAGCGTTTTCAATGGGAGAAAAGTTTCGTCACTCATCCTAGTGACTTCTGCAGTCTCAGCTGACTGCAGGTTTCCCCAGTCTTATAACAATAATAATAATAATAATAATAATGGATTGCATTCATATAGCGCTTTTCAAGACCCTCAAAGTGCTGTACAATTCCACTCTCACATTCACACACGGGTGGAGGCAGCTACAGGTGTAGCTACAGCTGCCCTGGGGCAGACTGACAGAAGCGAGGCTGCCATATCGCGCCATCGGCCCCTCTGGCCATCACCAGTAGGCGGTAGGTGAAGTGTCTTGCCCAAGGACACAACGACCGAGACTGTGGGAGCCGGGGCTCGAACCGGCAACCTTCCAATTACAAGACGAACTGCCAACTCTCATTATGCAATGTACTGTTTAAAAGAAAAAACTTTTTTTTGCCTTGACAACATACATTCATCTTCGTCAAAGGAGCTTGCAAAGAAAAGCATCTGGACTTCTTTAAGTTACTTGAAGACGTTTGGCGTCTTAAAGACTGGTGTAAAAGCGCAAGGAAATTTATGCGGCGGAGAAGAAGCGGCTGGCTTGACCGCAGCTCACAAATGACGGCTCACTTTACCGCGGTTCAAAGCTCAGGGTCACTGATTGTGTCAGTGGGTCCGGGAGGTTCTTCAGTGATCTGCGAGCTCCTGGACTGATGCTGTTTCTCACATTTTTACTGATTTCCTTGGTTTAAAGTCTTTGTGCTACGTAAACCACTCAAACTTGATGTTTTCTAATATTTTGCAGTGATTTACAGACACAGGTCTGTGGCAGCGACCGCACAGAGAAGCTTCTCGTCTCTGAGCCGCTGCTGCAGGTTTTAAACTGAAACTAAATGAGCGTTAAATCGTTTGGATCAAAGCTTCTTCCTGCTCTCAAACATTTTACACTTTCAGCTCTTTTGTTTTTGAGGATTTGCTGTTTTTCAACAATACAAAGTTTTTTATTCCAAACTGCATCCTGACATCACCCTCACTCACTAATCTTTTCAAAGTTTTTCAGGATTTTAGAGAGAAAACGGACATAAAGACAACAAACAATAAAACTATATCAAAGGTTCAGACTGAAGCTGAATGCGTGACGTGAATCTGATGAGAACGTCGCGCACGTATTTCTGATGGACAATAATCAGCTGGATTTATAGAATTTAATCTTTCAATCTTAATCTTCAACCTACAGGAAGAACATAAAGAAAACCTGTAGCTGTTCAGCAGCAGCAGCGGCACAGGTGTGCGCTCCACCTGGATACGTGCAGAGGAGAGCCTGCTGGAGCCGTCCACCGCCCCTCCATCCTCCCTGCTGTCTGTGAGCGGAAACTCTGGTTTAAATAACACGATCCCACATTATTCATGTTAGTTTTAACTCATTCGTACCGAAACGACGTTCTTGTCTTGCTCAGCGATTGTTTCGTGAACAGGAAGCGTTCAGCGTCTCTATTAAACACAAACATTTAAACACAACACAGATATAAAACTGCTAAAACGCTGCCACCTTGTGGTAAATGTGTTTATTTCTCCAAAGAAATGACAAGAATAAATCACTGATAATAAACGATAATAATTTTCTCGGTTACATCATTTAGCTGGAATCTGCAGGTTTTCCTTTAACAAACATTTCCACCTTAAATCAAGCAGAAAAAAACACAAAAAAGTCACCTGAATGTGACAAATGTTCCTGCGGTGCTGCTCGTTTCCACCCATTTGTACTTTTCTGAGGACATAAAACAGATTCTGGATCTTTTGCATTGATCTTATTCTGAGCAGACTGACTCCACGTGGACCTGCAGGCGCGCGCCGGTCTGTGGACCCGCAGGCGCGCGCTGCGTTCAGGGTTTTGGCGGCTGTGACAGAAAACATTTTACATTTCTTGCAAAAACAAATTTGACACTTTTTTGTTTCTCGAACAGAAGACAAAGTCAAACACGTGATTTTACAGGATGCCGTGATGAATAAATAAAACCAGTCTGTTCTCAGCTGTCCACGCCTGTGATGATGTCACGTACAAGTGTGATGCGGGTGTGAGTGGAGAGTCTCAGCTCGGGCAAGCGCACTTGCACTCAGATATGAGTGGGTACTGCACCGGGATCCACGCGCACCGGAGCGCGTTCCTGCGCCGGCAGCGCCACCGCAGCAGGGTCACATGCGCGGCTCTGGCGGGCGTGCACAGCATGCCCTCGGGCACCGAGCACGAGCGCTTGTTGGAGCAGCTGCCCACTTTCACGTAGCGCGGCCAGAAGCGCGCGCCCAGGTCACTCCAGGCGTGCTGCACCGGGCACGCAGCACGCGCCCACAGCCACTGTTGCAGCCGGCGGCGCAGCTTCCGGCCGCGCGGTGGCTCCGGGACCCCCGGGGAGTCCGGGGGCTCCTGCGGCGGGGATGCGGACATGAAGTGCGGGTCGAAGCGGGCTCCCAGCAGCCCACGCAGCTCCGTGACGTTCAGGTCCCGCTCCGTGGGGTCCAGCGCCGGGTCCGGGTCCTCCTGCAGAGCCTCCACCGGCAGACCGTCCCCGGGGACCGGCCGCAGCAGGAAGCAGTGCTGGCACGCCCCCTCCTCCGTCCCAAAGCCTACAGAGAGCACGAGCGCCAACACGGCCAGGAGGGAAGAGGGCTCCATGTCCACGAGCCACACCCCCACGCAGGTATCCAGAAAGACCTTAGCAACCGTAAGAGCGCGCGCGGCGCAGAGGCGGGTCCGCGCAGTCCGTGTCCAGGTCCACGGCGCGCGGGACTCCACGCGCGGTCGGCATGCTGCTGCTGGTTCTCCCGAAGCCCGAGTGAAGCCTCCGCTCGCTGCAGCCAGATATCCTGCAGGGTGCTGATGTCATCCACGCCGGGCCCACCCCCTCCCAAAATACTCCAAGTTCACGCACAAGCGCGTGACCGCTAGGAGGAGGAGAGGAAAGCACCAGGAGGAATCCACGCGTGATGACGGTGAGCTCATAAAGTCAGCACAGACATGAAGTAAAAGCGCGAGTGGTACAAATACTCCAAAGTACTGTGGAAGTACTCACATGCCACTTGGCTGCAGGGGTGTATTTAACTGAGGTGCCCCCCCACAGCTTTGAAAGGAATGTAACTCAGTACATTTACTGTCAGTTACTCTGCTACTTTCTGCTTTCACTCCAATATTTTCTATGTAAATATTTTAGAGGTTAATTCCTGTAGTTTTTGCAGATCAGTTGAATTGTTACAGAGCAGCTACACAAACACCTGAAAGAGACTTTGCACAGGATGTGGACTCATCTGCACCCTGAACCTGAACCTTGAGGGGTCAAATGTCGCTTTTGATTTGACATTTACCTGTTAAATCAACTGTTTACCTTGTTTAGTAAATGCAAATAAATAGATTTGCATTTAAGAAATATAATAAATATAAATGGTAAATGGCCTGCATTTGTATAGCGCTTTACTCAGTCCCTAAGGACCCCAAAGCGCTTTACACTACATTCAGTCATTCACCCAGTCACACACACATTCACACACTGGTGACGGCAGCTACATTGTAGCCACAGCTGCCCTGGGGCGCACTGACAGGGCACACATTATATATATATATAGATAGATATAGATATAACACATTGTAAATTTCAAAACATGCACAGAACTGCAGAACAGCAGCTGTCCCAAATCTGTAAACTCTGTTAATATCAGTTTCTTTCTCTTGCTGTCACTCCTCACAAACCTGTTCAGTGAGCACCTCCTGCTGCTGTCCTCAGGAAACCCCGTTTTTACTGTTGTTTATATAAAGCAGGACAGTTGTTCCAGAAGGTTCATTCAGATTAACATCTTCTTTATGTCTTCATGTTTATGTCTTTTGTCACATTCATTACTGCTGGTGACGACGTGCAGCAGACCCTCGTCAGTCCCCTCAGGTCAGCCTGAAAATGTGAGGAAGGGTGGTGAAGTCAGAGTGGACATCAGGCCGAAGCTGAAGTGGTGCAGTGAGAGCTCTGCGATCTCCACCCTGACGGAGTCTTCAGGTCAAGCAGCGTGGAGCACTACTTCCTGCCAGGATTCCCAACAGGAAGCAACGTGGACACCTGTAAGCCAACAGCTCGCTGGGACTCATGTGACAGGCTTCAGATACGCCTCTTTAATGAATGCAGCCCAGGAGGCTTAAAGCAGCGCTCCATTTATTTCTGCCTACCACCTGGGTCTGGGTGCAGTTCCCCCCTCCAGGGGCAAGGGTACCTAGACCCGGTTTGTAGAGTACGCTTGGGGAGTGTGATCGTGTGTACAGCGTCTCTTTATGTCTGTCTCCACGTTGGTTGAGTGTGGAGTAAGTGCATATGAGAGCATGAGGGTGGGAATGGATGTTTGTGTCTGTGTGTGCCTGTATGTCTGTGTCTATATGTCAGGTTGGGTGTCAGGCGCCACCTCTCTGGGGACATCTCAGGCCCTCCAAGGTTTGGAGGCCTATCTCCCCCCACCACCACTTCCCCTGCCAGTGGCGGACTCCCTCAGACATCGGTGCGTTGGTGGTTCTTTGTGTCCGGGGATGGGCGTCCAGGTACACACCGGCTCACTCCTTGGCGGCCGCTTATCGGGGCCTGGAGCCTGGGGCTCGCTCGGGCCACTTCGGAGGTCACTCGGTCACTCAGGCACGGCTGGCTGCCGGCGGAGCTCACGGGCGCGTCACTGCAACTCCCCCTGGCTTCTGCTCCGCGGCTGCTGAGTGAGCCCTCATCTGGGACTCTCCTCAGCTCTTTCTGGGACAGTGGCGCGGCTGCCCCTCTGTTGGTCTTCCTTGGTCTCTTGTGTTCTGGGGGCCTCTGGATGTCTGGAGTTTTGATCTCCTCCATACCTGCTTCATACCCTGGAGGACGGGGCTGTGGCCCCCCCACACCCTCTAGCAGATTATTACATGAAGGAACCTTTTAAAAAAAAAAACAAGCGCGTCCATGCTCACAGGTGTACACACGGGTGGATCACACCCACAAACTACACCCTTTTTGGCTCCTACCTCAAAGCACACTGTGTTCGTGTTGATCTTATGTGCTGCACAATAATGTTTAATATTTAGTATTTACTGTCATATTCCCATATATCATTGTGATGTTGTTTATTCTATTACTCTTGTTCTCTTCTGCTTGTTTTCTTTTTTCTTTCTCAGCAGGTGATCCAGGTGATTGATATATGCATTTTTTTTTCTCTGCCCGTTCTGTTGGTTTATGTTTTTTGCCCTTCTCCCCCGTCCCTCTTCTCAGCTGTTTCTCTTTCCCTCTTTCTTTCTCCCCTTCTTTCCCCCAGTCAAGTCTGTCCCGTATTCAGTAAGTGAAAATAAAATAAAAATAAATGCTTCTATGAATGTTTTTATTTCATCCTGTTTTATTTCCGCTGTCAGCTTCATCGTTACCGACTCTGTAAACCTGACACTGAACCTCCAGCTTCACTTCATAAACTTTGCTTTGAAAGGTGATTTCTGAATTCATAAAGTTATTATTCTCATGTACATATCAGGTGTTTTAGAGAGAGACCTCCAAACAGGACAAAAATAAATGTCTTACATTCAGCTGATCGTTCACACCACACGAATGATCACTAGATACTGTATCATACTCAGAGACTGCAGCTGTGGACAGAATAAACCTGATTGTGCAGGTGGAAAGATGCTGAGTTCAAACTGTGACTCTGAAGATCCTGATGGATGACAAAGATGTTGATTTATGGTTTTTATCCACATCCAGCTCTGCAAGGTTCCCTAAACAGTCGAGGTTTTCTTTGTGACCCCTGCCGCCCTCCCACCTCCGGCTCCTGCTGAATTTTGGGTAATTTTGTGGCCGGTGACAGCGTGTGACGGGTGCCATTAAACTGTCATATCTGTGTGGGGAGGAAGACAGCGGCAGTGAGATAAGATAAGACTTCCTCTCTTTGTAAACCTTTTATCCCTCGCTTCCACATCGGGGTCCACAGAGGAGCCCCGGGGGACTCGAGTCCACGCTGCGATGGATGCAGAGCGCCTCAAGCACCTTTCAGGTCGGAGGGAAAGGCTCCGGCGAGCTCTGAGGAACCGTCTGAGCTTCACATCTGGTGAAAAAAACCACATTTGGTTCAAACATCAGCTCAGACGACAGCTTCACTCCTTCATGTCCCAAATAAGAGCATTACTGACGCGTCCAGATCGAGAAAGTCGTAAAACGGTTTGTCGTTGCGTCGGCTGTCATGCCGGCGTCAGCACTCAGGGAGCTGACCCTCACAGCGACTTCACCGTTCATGGCTGAGAGCATGAATCAAATCACGAAATGACGAAATCCTCGGGTCTTTAAACTCATCACAGTGTAAATATTTTAACCTCTGCTAACCTGCCCCACAGCATGAGGAGGATTTAACTCCAGATCTTTCTTCATGTATCTGGTGATGTTTTGAGCAAACCTGGTGAAGAGCAGTGCTCGAGTTTTTCTTTCCCACTGTCGCCGAGTGTTTGATAGTTTCTCTGTATTATTGAAGCGTCTTTAACCCTATAAAACGAATTTAGGTGGCTATTGATGTGACCGACTCTGAAATTGTATTTTTATCCTTTTGGATAAAAGGAGGCCAAACATCCTGGAGAACCTAAAAAAACTCGTCCGATTATTTTAAACTCAGGTGTAAAAACCTGAACTTTGAATCCTGGCAGAGCAGTTTTCATTCATTCTGCAGCTCGAGCTGTTGTTGTTGTTGCTGACGTGATGGGAGTCGCGTCCTTGGTCTTCTCTGTGATTGTGGAAACGTGGAAAGTGGACCTTTGAGACCATTTCCGTCCTCCTGCTTTCACTTTGAAGCCAAACACACACTCGTGCTTTTATTGACGCATCAGTCAGGATTTATTGGGGAAATTGAGGAGATTTAAAAGGTAAATTTATTCAGTGTGTTCTGGTTCAAAGCGATCAGAAAAACATCTGTTTGCACGTCTGTGCTTCGACTCGTGTGTCCGGGGTTCAGCTTCTTTGAAACAATAATTCTGGCGGTGGGAGGGCGGGGCTGAAACCTCTGATAACGGCCCGTTTCGTGTCTGTTTTTTTGCGCTTGACCTGATCCCGCCACCTTGAAGCCTTCGCGCCCAAATGGACCGTCCAAATTGCCCTGGTCATCTCACCATCAAAGCCAGAATTACACCAACAACAAACAACAGCTCCCCGCTCCCGGTTTTATCTGGCCGGGTCACGGACGAAGCAGCCGGCCTGTTTCTCCTTCATCCTGGGAGGCCCTTTGATTCGTTATTAAGATTACGCTAACGTTATATTTGAACATCAGAGGAGCAGTTAGGACCTGCAGGAGTCCCGACTAAAGGCTGGAAACCCACTGATCCACTGCGCTGGGCCGTATCGCAGCCCGGCTTCGGAAAATCAAAGGAAAACGTGATTCAGAACATGTGGATCTGTCTGTAGTGGAAAGACAAGGGAGGAACACAGCGGCTAAATGGAAACTATGGAGAATGCTAATGGCACTACGAGGCTTTTGATGATAAGTCAATGAGAAGGTGACGTAATGTTTTTACCCCAAAAGCCTCGAGGACACCGAGAAGAGTGAACTCCAGAAGTGGGAGTTTGATGGAAAAGCAGGAAACAGAAGGATTATTACAGCGCGTTCACATCAGCCGCAACATCTGCTCATATAGGAGACTTTGAAAGGAAAAACAGATTCAAATACAAAACAATACACTTCAACATTACAGAGGCGGCTTAAAGAGGACCGAGTGTTCTCGAGGGTCGGCGTCAGAGGCCGAGGACAGAGCCGCCGTTTGAGTTCCCGTAGTCGGACAGGAAGTGGTTGCACTTCAGCCGGAGTGCAGCAGGGGGCGTTTACGTGGAGAGTCGTCAGTGACTCGAAGTGAACGAGCTGAAAATGATCTCCACCTGCTTCGTCATTTAAAACTACAGCAGGCGCATGGCTTCATTACTGCAGAGCCTTTGCTTTCCACCTTAAAGCACCTGCAGGCCTGTTGTGAACAGCTGTTAAATAAATAAAGTTAAATTGAATCCACACATTTTGTTTTAGTTTTCATGAATCATATCAAAGCATCGGCGTCCTTTAGCGATTTTGCCCTCAAACTCTGGTCAGTGACGGGTTCGGGACAGGACGTCGTCCCTCCACGGCGCCTGTTTCAGACCATAATAACGTTTCCACCAAGCGTCGGTAACAGCAGGCGCTGCGATGAAACGGACACTTGTTCTCTAATTTCACTGAAACATTCTGCTCCACTGTCAGAAACATGGAGCTGTTGTCACGACCTGCGGGATCGGCAAGGCGCTGATCAGCATCTCTTCACTCCTAGCCCCCCTTCTCTTCTCTTTTTCCTCTCCCCTGTTTTGCCGGGGCGGAACTCATGGTGGCTTCACGCCCTCGGTCCACGCCTTCCTGGATTGGGAACACCTGGGCC